GAGTATGGAGAAATAGTACAGTAAAAGTGCCATCTATTCCTTCACTTGTATAAGTATGAAATAGAATATTGAATGAAAAAAATATCCAAGTGAGAACTATTACAATACACATACAAATATAAAAATCAGGAAGTGGTGCTGTGGCTCAAGTGGTAGAGTGCTCACCTTGAGCTGAAGAGCGCAGGAACAGCGCCCAGGCCCAGGGTTAAAGCTCCAAGAGGGACAGATAGATAGATAGATAGATAGATAGATAGATAGATAGATAGATAGATAGATAGATAGATAGATAGATAGATGATCAGACTTGCTTATAACTTAACTGAATATTTCCAGGACATTATGGGTCCCAGGGAAAGAACTCAGTCCTACAGTAGAGGCTTAATGTATTTTTCAGAACTTAGCCCTAGGTAATGGTCTTCCCAAGCGGAGAGGGCAGAGAACAGCATTCAAGGCAGCTTCAGTGGCTAATACTCATAGATCACAGTGACTGGAATTTGTGGACTGGAATCAGAAATAAAGGATTTATGGGATGGATGGAAACAAAAGTCTCCAAGGGGGGTATCATAGATCTTTGGGAGAGATTTATGGGCTACACATGCATAGGAAAGAATCTCTGGGAGACCTGGGAGAGAGGGGCTACTGTAGGAATGAGAGATGAGCAGAACTATGTAAAAATACATGGTAGAATGATGCTGGATTTATAGTACAGTGAGGGTGGAACCTTAGATTGTACCTTGGAAGTAAAAATCAGGACTTTAAAACACCTGGTATGCTATATATCTATAGTTTAAAAAAATGGAGTTTTCAACAATTATATATAGAAAAGATGTCAGCATATGTTAGTAAATGAAAAAAATCAATGTGTATAGGTTTATAGTTTCCTATCTTTTGTATGCAAAAGGGAAAATATTATGCAAATAGATTTGTATTAACAAAAACAAAAATGAGGCAAGAATATGGTAATTGTGATGGATGAAGACAAGAGCCTTTCAATGTATATCTGTTAAAAGACACTGGCTATCTTTGGCTGATCTTTCAGCATATTGAATATGTGATCCTACTACCTTCCGGCTTCCATTGCTTCTGATGAGCAATCAGCCATTTCTCTTATTGAGTTTCTTTTCTGCTTTTAAGATTTCCCCCCAATACAGCATTTTTAGTGTGGTGTGCCTTTGTTGATCTTTATGTGTTTATCTTTCTTGGAGTTCATTGAGTTTCTGTGTGTGTGTGTGTGTGTGTGTGTGAACTTACATACCACACAAATGCTCTACTACTTGAACTCTGCCCAGGTACTTTTGTTCTTACATATTTTATTTTGTTTTGTTTTGTTCAGATAGAGTATTGGGATTACCGGTTTGCACCACCATACTTGACTTTCACTTCTTGAATGTGAAGATAAATTCTTTTGAAAATCAAATTTGTAAGATTGTCAGCTGCCATGTCTTCACTTTTTTTTTTTTTTTTTTAACTCTGGGCCTGGATGCTGTCCCTCAGCTCTTCAGCTCAAGGCGAGCGCTCTACCACTTGAGCTACAGCGCCACTTCTGGTTTTTCTGGTGGTTATTGGAGATAGGAGTCTCACAGTCTCTCCTGCCCGGGCTGGCTTTGAACCACGATCCTCAGATCTCAGCCTCCTGAGTAGCTAGGATTACAGGCGTGAGCCACCAGCGCCCGGCTTCTCTGGCTCCTTTTGAGGTTTCCATTGTAATTTACAAAGGAGAGAAGTAGTCAGTACAGTGGGTATAGGAGATCTGCTGCTCACAGTGTTTCAGAAATAAATCGTGCATCTAACACTTTCTGGCTGTGTGGACTTAGCATCTTTGTACCTCAGTTTTCTCATCTGTAAAATGGAGGGAGAAATATCTCACTAAAGTTTCTCTGAAGATTAAATGAACTCCTGAGAATCCACTACTGAGTATTACTTTGTTGTTACTGTTGCAATTCAAATGAGATCCTCACAACAGGCAGCAGAATGAGGCTTACATCCTGGCTTTTGCATATCCTATAATAGTTAATTCCTCACCATATTACATAGTTTTGCTCTCTTCTTCTTCCTCTAAATTATATAATTGCACATTTGTGGTAAACAGGAGGAAAGGTCTATCTTAGATTGCTAGAGACTTTCATCTTTTGAGACATTAATTTCTAAGTATTTACATGGGACCTGTTTGACTATTGATATTTATTTGCACCTCTTTTACTTCCAAAACTCATCTTTCTTTGCTATCTTCTACTGAAAGTGCCACTGCTTTCCCCACAGACTTGCTTATGGACATTCCTTTCCAAATACAATATCCTCAGGCTGTGAAGCCTTCTGAAGGTAGGGACTGTCATTTCTATCTTCGGTGGTAGCCTTAGAGCCAAGGCCTTTCACAGCCCATTCCCCACCCAGCACTTTCTTCCAGTGTGCTCAAGGGATGCCTCTTCTTCCTTAAAGTCATGAATGCCATCACTTTGTCCCTCTCCCCCCAACTTTTCTCCTTTATACACCAGATAGGTTGTTTTTCAACACCTACCTTCAGTTCTTCTTAGGTGATTACCTGCTTTGTACTCTGCTTACCTCCTTCCTCCAAGTTCTCTTGCCTGCTTTCTGACCTCTGTTGAGGACAACTGATTCCTATTCTCTGACACATTTCACCATTGAAAGATTTTTCATTTCTACCTAAACCCAAAAAGTGACTCCTATTTTCTCACACTGCTATAAACTATTCCTCCTCCTCCTCCTCCTTCTCCTCCTCCTCTTCTTCATCTTCTTCTTCGTCATCGTCGTCTTCTTCTGTCAAATGTGAACCCAGCTGCATTTAGCCTGTATATTTTATCACAGTAAGTACTAGAAAGGAAAAATGATTTCATCTATGTTTTACAACATTGAGTGTAATAAAATACATACAGATAATTTGTCAACTTCTGATCATGATGATACTCAAAGAAGCAGAATAAGCATTCTTTGCTCAAGACAGAAACCATGTATTTCCATCTTTGATTACAAAATAATGATACAACCCCACCTGTAACACAAAGTAATAAATACTGATAAACATTTTTAAATACCTTACAAGAAAATGTTATTTCACATTGAAATTGTCATGTGAGAGCTGATGTCTTTTCTTATGTAAAATGCTTATACATTTAAGGCTGTGAAGTATTATTGACCTAAAAGAAGAATAGCAGCATGGCAGGAAGGAAAAGAGGGAGAAAACAGAACAACTGAATGTTCTCAACAAATGATTCTGTATACAGTGTCAGTCAAAGTGAAAAATTTTATACACACAATTTCGGAATTGTGCTTTTGAACTATTGTAAAAGAAAACCTGTGTTTTTGCATGTTTCTGAATGTGTTTTCAGTTTATTTAAGGTACCTCTCCAACCCGATGACTGTTTTTAACATCCTATTCGATAATCCTAAGCCTATTTTTCCTTCCTAATAATGAGTGTTAATATTTTAGACAATTCACATCTATAAAAGCAAAAGGAAGCTGCTTATAAAAATACCCAATCTTTCAAATATAAGAAAGTACAATCATCTTAGAAAGCACTATGATTATTCCAAGAATGTGTTCATTTCTCCAGACTGTTTCTAGAATTCTGCTTTGGGATCACAGTCAGTTAGTTGAAAGCCATGTTGGAAAGCCAATCTTGTAACTTTACAGAATTCATATGTATATATGGGTATAAACACATATATGTATATATATGTGAATTAATTATATACATATTATTCACCATATTAATTTAACTTCAAATTACAGTTTGCTTGCATAAAAACTCAAATTTACTTCACAAAGGCTTATATTCTGAAGGTGCCAGCCATCAGTAGCTCAGCCTTGTCATCCTAGTGACTGAGGAGGCTGCCTTCTGAGGATCACTGTTTGAGGCCAGTCCAGGCAGGATAGTTGGAGATACTCTTATCTCCAAAAATTACCTAGCAAAAGGCCAGAGATGAAACTTGCTCATGTGATAGAGGCCCAGCCTTGCATAAAAAGTTAAAGGATTAAGTGACAGTGCCAAGGCCCTGAGTTCAAGCCCCAAGATTGGCACAGGTACACACAAGAAGAAAGAGAGAGAGAGAGAGACAGACAGACAGACAGAGAGGCAGGTAGGAAGGAAAGGGAAGGGAAAGTGGGAGGGAAAGAAAAGAGAGGAAAGGAGAAAGAAAAAAAAGATCTGAAAAGTATTACTTAAACTGTGAAAGCATTTTTGCGTGGTATCTTAAAAGCTATTGAAAAGAACCGGGCAGTCTGAGTAAGATTAAAGTCTCTAAGCCAAAGCCGGCCATCTGAAAGTGGTATGGGGTGGCAGTGACATTTTTATGTGTAATGCTTTCCAAAAGCCCCATCTCCTTGCCTTCATACTTCTACTTTTCCTTCAGATGACTGAATTTTATCTAGCAACACATCACCTTTAAAAACCCTAAAGTCACTTATAATAGGATCTGAATTTAAAACTTCCCATCAAGATGACCAGGGCTGGGGAGAGGTGCACCACTCTGAGAGACAATAAGAATATTTTGCTCCCAAACCTACGGAACCCAACGCAAGTGGCAGGGGTTGGGATTCTAGACTCAAGTTTGCTTGTTTGTTTTGAATGCTGGTGATTTGGAGGGCCTTTCAAGCAGCTCCGAGGGTCCCCATTCTTTTCCACAAACTCTAGGTATTTGAGCAAGTACGGGTTGCTTTCAATGATTTTTGTTTGTTGCACAGTGATTGCTATGATATGAGCATTTCAGTAACTGTGAATTTTATGTTTTGTCTTTCTTTTTTGGCACAGTTCACCATGCCTACTTGTGTGGCTTAAGATTGTTTTAAGTTTTGCAATTTGCTTTCCTTTGGGCACTTTTGAGGAAGAGGATGCCATGACTTTTATGTTGTCTGGGGAAGAGTGGTAACCTCCCCCCGTGGTCTCTTTATCTATATACAATTTGGCTTTCTGAAATGCACGGTTTATCATTGAATGAAGGGGATGGGAATTTGGCTTCACGAACCGTGTGATCTAACCCTTTTCTTAGAGGCTAGTGTCCCCGGCTTCGAACTTAGGCTGTTTGGTCAATGCCGTCACGGGCTCCGGCGGTCCCTCTCGGCAGAAAAGCACAACTGGGTTTTTGCGGGCCCACAAGGCCACGTCCCCTCCCGCCCCGCTGTTGGGGTCGGAAGAGGATATCCAACTACAAGCCCCCAGCCTTTTGGCATAGCGGTTTCGAAGGCGATTGCGGCTTCGGGTCTGCAGATCGGAGCCCTGGCTGGGCAGGAAAGCATCCATATTCCTAGTCCGGTATCCCTCTTCGCGGTTGCGCCCTAGGAGCATGGAGATGTTGGGGTTGCGGACGGCGTAGATGACAGGGTTGATGGCCCCATTCGCCCAGGTCAGCCAGACAGCCACGACGTTGAGGATGGAGGGCGCCTGCGTGGCCTGGGCCTGTCGGGTGGCAGCCAGCAGCACCAGGAAGCAGTAAGGACCCCAGCAGCAGATGACAAAGACGATCATGATGAGCACGGTGGTGGCGGTGCGCACCTCGCTGAAGAAGCGCAGCACGCGCGCGTAGGTGGTCACGGGCCGCACGCGCACGTCCGACAGGCGCACCGTCTTGCAGATGTGGTAGTGGCAGAAACACATGAGCAGGAAGGGCAGCAGGTAGCAGGCCACCACCAAGCCCACGCTGTAGGCCGCGCCCAGCTGCGCGGGGTCCGGGGAGGTCCGGTAGAGGCAGCCGTGGAAGCTCTGCGCGGCGGGCGGGTCCCGGGCAGCGCCGAGCAGCTCCCAGGGCAGGGAGAAGCCCAGCGCCGCCAGCCAGGCTCCGGCCAGCAGCTGCAACGCGCGGCGGCGGCCGATCTTGTCCCGGGGCGGCCGCACGATGGCGCAGTAGCGGTCGAGCGAGATGAGGGCCACGCTGAAGGTGGACACGATGCCGAAGCACGAGCTGAAGAAGCGGCTGGCGGCGCAGAAGCCGCGCCAGGGCCCCGCGGAGTCGGGGGCGGCGGCGCTGGAGGAGGCCGCGCTGGCCGCCGAGGGCGCCAAGCCCCCCGGGGGCGTGAAGAGGTCCAGGAAGGCGGCGGGCAGGCAGAGCAAGGCCGTGAGCAGATCCGACAGGGACAGGGACAAGATGAAGGCGTTGGTGACGGTGCGGAGCTGCCGGTGCTTCACGATCACGCCCATCACCGCGCAGTTGCCCAGGCTAGACAGCAGGAAGATGAGCAGCAGGACGAGCGCCTGCGCCGCCACCACCGCCCCGTGCGACAG